AACCTTGGCTTTATTTTTTGAAATAAAAATTTTAAAAAAAGCAAATTTTTCCTTTTTTTCCTGCCACACACTCATGCTTTGTCTTGTGTCCTGCTTCCCTCTTGAGTTTCATCAAGAAAGAGGGCCTCTCTGTGTTGGTGTTTCCTCAGTGAATTGCCAAAGGAAAGCAGTAGAGGACCCTACATATGTAAAACTCTGAAGGTGACCTAAGTGAAACCAGGTCATTCATACCAGCTCTTTTTGGTGAAGGGAAGGGGAGCTCTCACCGTCCTTGAATGTTGCCACATATAATGAAGGCCTGAGTTGGAGGTATCCTAATTCAATAGTGGTGAGAATGGGGCTAGGGTTTGACAGTGGCCACTGCAGGACTGAAGAAGAGTGATATTTGAAAGAAAATACAAAGAATTGCACTATGGGAGGAGCCTTAAAAAAAGTGGGATGCAAGAACACATGGGGATAGTCACAGCTGGAAACCTCGCTGTCCATATGAGATTCAGTGGGCCTTCAGGGACCTGGGCTAGGTGAAGCCAGGGTGTGGAGAGGGTAGTTGAAAAGAGGGAACTGGTGCTCAGGAGAGGCACTTTTTAGGAACAAGAGGGAAGCAACAAGGCAAGAACTCCACTGAGTAATTCAGCAAGCATTCCTTGTCTGTTTGAGCCAGACAGTAACAGAGGAGGGGACTGGAAGCCAAAGCAAGGAGCTCCTGAAGGAAGCTAATGGGCTGCTGTGGAATCTGGGACAAACTGGATGGCATAGGCAGCATAAATGTTAAACCTTATTTTAAAGCCTAAATCTGGCGCTGGCCAAAGTCTGACTCATGAATTCAAGGGGCTCATTGGGTATAGCTTGTGAGGGCTGAAGGTGCCTGAGTCTCCCAGATGGAGATTGGGTGGCAGAGGGCTCAGGGGAGGGCCATAGTGAAGGTGGCCTGAACTGGCTAAAAGAGCCAGAGACTCAGGGGCAAAAACCTGAGCTCTCTCCCAGGGCACAGTAGGCGTGGGCTTCCCTCCCCATGGATGAAGCTTGTAGGCCAAGAGAAGGGCACATGTGGAGAGACTGCAGACAGCAAGGCAGAACCCCTGGTGACCTCTGGGCAGGCGGCAGGGACCAGGGTAGGGACACTGCAGGGCCACTGGCCCAGGCCCAGTTCCTTCCTGGCACCATCTCCAAGATTCCCGAGCCTCACATGTTTCAGGCCTCAGGCCTGGAACGCGCCACCCCCCACCCCCCACCCCCACCAGCTGTCCTTGAAAGCCTAAGTGTCACCTCCTACAGAAAACCTTCCCTCAGCCAGAATCAGGGCTTTTTTCAGTGTCTTTGGCCTGCCTCTATACCAGCATGTATCTGGAGGTTTTTGATGAATTATATCTATCCCAGGGTTCCCCATTCTCTTCTCCCTGAATTTAAGCTTGGGTACTCCCAGGCCCACTCAAGCACGCAGCACTTAGACTGTTCTCAAGGCATTTGTGTGTGAAAGGGCATTTCCGGGGGCGGGGCGGGGGGCGGTAGTGGAGGTAAGGAGAATGGAAACGCCCCTACAGAGGAGTCCAGTAGGGGCTTGGCGGCAGCTTGACATCTAGCAGGCCCAGTCAGAAGATAAGGCTGCTGGAGACGAGAGACCTGAGAACCAAGCCTTGGGATGAGGCCTTTGATGACACATGGCTAACGGCCAAGAAGCAGCAGAAGGCGCTCAGGCCTGGATCTGGGTTGGCGCGGCTCCCCTCCTCGTCCCCAGCTCAGTGGGGCCTTTTTTGTTGTCTGTCAGCCGGGGTGGCAGTGGTGGCGGTAGCTGCCGCTGCCGTGCGTCTCCCGAAGTGGCTGATGCAGACCCGCTGCGGGCAACCGCGCCGTTCTCCCTCCATCTGTGGGTCCATTACTTCCCTCCCCGGCCTGCCCCACGCAGATCCCGACCCTCGGGGTCACTCGGGTCTCGATCTGCGCCACAGCGGGCAAATCAAGCCCACGGTTCTCTTGGGCTTGGTGACCTAGAACGCCGGCGCCGTGCTCAGAGAAGCGGCCGCAGGGCCTTCCCAGCACGCAGCCCGCCCTCAGGCGCCCGGGACCTCGCGGGGCGCCCGGGTGGAGGCGTCGGTCCTCACCTGCAGGGCCAAGCTCGCCCTTGCCCCTCATGCCCTTTCTCACCAAACCCCTTTCGTGGTCCACACTCACCTGAGGGAGGGGGCACCAAGATTTGCTCTGGCCTTTGGCACAGAGGAGGACCCGTCTCTCTCAGCCTGGCCAGCCTCTCCCAGGACTTGGGGGTGGGCGGGGGTGAGGAGGTAGGGAAAAGGGACTTCCCTGGAACAATGGGTCCCAAGGGGTACACCAGTGTAGGGGTGTGGGGGAGTGTCTGAGCATCCCGCCGCTCCGGCACCCCAGCCTGCACACTCCCAGCTTGGTGGCAATTGCACAGAGCTTTTTGTGAGCCAGCGTAAAGGCCTAAAAGAACTCACAGACCTGAGGCCCTAGAAGTGAGAAAACTAAAATTTATGTCTGAATCGGTTATATCTGCATTAACGTTTTCTGAAAGAGAAAACCATCCCAGAAGTGTGTGAGATGTATGGACTCCCCACCCCAGCTCCTCTGCCTGGAGTTTCTTCTCTAAAATGCCCACTTCCCTCTCACTCTGGTTAAGGGATTTCCCCTGGGGGTGGGGGGAGGACAAGCACATCTCTTGGGACTGTCCTCGGCCGTCCACCAACCCAAGGAGGTTATTCTGGGGATTCCGCCCCCCTTTACACTCACAGAATTCAGAGAAATGCGTGGGGTGGGAAATCCAGGGGACTGAAGGTCATTTGTTGAGCAGATATGGATGCCAAGAAGAGGGGGTACACCTGGGGCAGGCCTGGGTAGAGGAATCTGCAAGCTGAGAGGCTGAGGAGGGCAAGGCGGGACAGAGGTGCAGTGTCAGGGAATGTGAAATAAGATGGGGGTGATGAGGAAAGGGAATTCTGAAAGAGGGTGTTGGGGGTGGGTGAGAAGGCACCCTTAAGTGGGAATGGAGGTGCCTTCTGGAGGGAAAGTGAGAAAGAGGGGATCTCTGCTAGAGGAGGGAGCAGAGGACCCCCAAATGTCTGAAGGGACAATGGGGAGAGTCTGTTGCAGAAGGGGGGGTGGCAGGCAGCAATGTATGCTCACGTCTTTGGATGGCTCTGGGGAGGACCCAAGTCAGAGAGGGCTGGACCATGGGGGTGGGAGGTATGGTGGGAAGAGGTGCACTGGAAAGCAGCAGCACTGCCAAGCTGGGGTTGGGGGAAGCCTATGAGACAGCTAAGCGCCCTGCTCCTCAGCCCAGGACCCAGGTTTAATCTCTTAATCTCCCTCATTAATCATTCCCTTCCTCCTACCCCCCTTGGAGGATCTGGTTTCTCCCCAGCTCAGGTTCCAGGGGCTTTGCTGGGAAAAGTCCCCTCCTGTGGCCCCACAATTGTCTGGACAAGTCCCTGGCTGCTGAGATGACCTTAGATGGGCTCTGCTGTAAGTGGCCTCTTCCCTTTACTAGTCTCTCCTTCCCTCTCCTCCCCCAAACCCACATCTGGGGACTGCCCAACCCCATTGTCCAACCCCATTCCTAAGCCCGGTTGCAAGGGGGAAAATGTTGGAGAGACAGAAGGGGAGGAAAGCAAAGGCCCTTCAGGAGAGCCCCACACTGACACACAGGAGTAATTGAGAGCAGAAGAGATGACATAAAAGCTACATAAGAAGATGCATGAGTGAAGGCTGGAGTGTCTGTTTGGTGACAGGCCTGGGACATAGGCTAGGCAGTTCCTGCAGCCTCCTGAGACCTTCTTTAATTGCAGATTAAGGGAAACCCCCAGGATGGTTCAGAGGGCTGAGGCCTCCAGCTAAGAGGATCTCTCCTGGCCCTCCTCCACCTGCCACCATTAATAACCAATTAACAAGGTCCTGGCATCTCAGCTTTCCACCGTCTGCTCTCTGATCCAACAGTGGCCCACTGGGCTGAGTTTATTGCTTAGGCTGCCATGAAGGTACTATGTGAGTGTCTGTGTGAGTCTTAGGGGATGGGGGGTGACTTGGGAGGGAGCCCTTTACCAAGAATACCCTTTGTTGGGTGTGGGCTATGTCACTGCCTCAGGTTACATGAGGTTCCCTGACCCCCATTATCAAAGTGTTTTCCTGTCCTTGTCAAGGAGTCTTTGACCCAGGTGTCTTGGATCTCCCAAGCTCTGTTCAGGGCACCCCAACTGCAGGCTCCACTTGCCCCAGAGAATAGACAGGTGGACTCAGAGTATCACTGCACAAACGGTCGGAGGTACAGAAGTCTACAGAGAAGGTGACATAATGCACAGTCCAGGAGGGACTTGTCCACTTCTTCATGGCACTGTTTGAAAAAAACAGAAGAGATCATAGCAGCGAGTTCCTTAGGAGTGGTGAGTTCCTCAGGAGTGGTGGGGCTTCTCTGCCTCTGGGATGTGAGACGTGAACAAAACCCTTGCCCTGTTGGGCCTCCACTGGTGAGCAGTGCTATCCCAGAGTTGTCTTCTTCTTACAAAGGAGGGCTGTGGTATAAGCCCAGGACTAGCTGTGGGAGAGAAGTGAGAAAGACAGAACCCAGATAAGATAGGAATGAATATCCCAGGTCTTAGAATTTGCCCCTGGGTTGGTAGGGGTTCTGTCCCAGGATCTGGTTGGGTATATGAAGTCTGCCCTTCAAGTCACTCTTCTATATCGAGTGACCCTGACGCTCCTGGGCAGTGACCAGTGGCCGCCTCCACTGTTGTAGATGCTGGGTGGTTTCTGGGCCTCTCCAGGCTGAAGGACCTCTACTCCAACTACAGGAGCTTAATAAGAAAACAAAGACAGACAGATCGACTGATAGATGGAAAGAGTAACCGGGAAGCCCAGGCTTCACTGGCAAAGACCCCTCCTGGGCAGTAACACTAGCTCTGGTTTGCTGTGTCCTCTCTCCTGAGGCCCAGGTCTCCGGCCCCTTCTCCATGTGTTTTGACTTCCTCAGGGCTTCTGAGCCCTAGCGGGACAGCCTTGGGTCCAGCCAGAGAGCCGGCAGAGTCCACTCACCTGCACTTGCTTCGCCATGGCATCCCCAGTATTCCCGGTTACAATCGCTCTGCCTGGCCAGGTCCTTCCAAGTTGCAAGTCCCCCAGCCCCCAGCACCGCGCTAATAACTTCCAGCCGCCCGACCTCTTTAAGAGCGTTCCGCAGGGATGGGGCGGAACGAGGGGGCCAGGTCAGGAGACAGAGGTCCTTACTAGGTGAGACTGGGTATCCTACCACTGCCAGTTCTGCTCTCCCTTTTCGGAATTTTGCAACTCCCCAGCCGTTGGGGCCAGGGAAAGCAATTTTATTGCCGACGAGTTTATGAGCCAGAGCTGCGGCTAGGCGGGGAGTCTGTGGTATACAGAATCTGGGGGCCGCCCAGGAAGGGTCCAGCCCGAGTGTGCACTGCGCCGCGTCCGGCAGCGCAGAGCAGCCCTGCGGCCCGGCCTGGCGGGTTGTTCCTCCGGTTTCTCTCCACACCTCCCCACCCTGTAGAAATACCGCTGCCGGAACGTCTACCAGCTCCAGACCCACCGCGGACCCGGCCGCGTTGGGGGGTGGGGGCGCAGGAGGAGGGGCACTCGAGGCTCGGGCCCAGCGCGGGGGGCGGGTCCGAGGCTGGGGGCCCAGATCGGGAGCCGCGCTGGGGCCCAGGCAGCTGCGGAGCCGAGCGCGGCGGGCGGCGGGACCGCCACAGCCCGGCTGGCCATGAGCTCGGGATCCGAGCCCCGGACACCCCGGACACCCTTCAGCATCGCAGACATCCTAGGCCCGCACATGGTTCCCCGAGGACCCTCTGCGTCGCAGCTTCCAGAGTCGAACCAAGGTCCCACGTCGCCGCTGTGCGCGCTGGAGGAGCTGACTAGTAAAACTTTCCGCGTACTTGACGGGCACGCTCCGCAGCCCTCTGAAGGTATAGCGCCGGCGAGGTCGCTCACTGTGACTTGGCCTTCTCCCCATTTCTTTCCTCCAGGTTCCCGGTCTCGAACCTTCGTTCACCCTGGCCGCCACCCTAATCCGCACCCTGCCCTCAGCCCACGTGCTGGGGTTTGCCTCTCCCTCTTCTCCCCTCCCCTCCGTTAGTTCCCAGGCTCCGCGCCCGCTCCTGGAGGCCGCCAGCGCCGAGGGGAAGGGCCAGTCTGTCGAGAACTGTGCGGGGCAATCGCGACAGAGAAAGGCCAGAGAGGAGACAAAAGGCCTGGCCCGGAGGCTGTAAATGAGTGAGCTAGGGCAAGGGCGGCGCAGAAAGTGCAGGGAGGCGAGGCTCGGGCCTCTCCGGGTGACCGAGCTCCGCTCCAAGCCGCTCTCCTCTCGAGAGGGCGCAAGGAGCAGAAGTTCCTTGGAGCCTCAAGGGCCGCGGGACTCTGGACTCCGCCTTTCCTCGCCCTTTGTACCCCCACTCTCTCCCTTTTGGGCTCGAGGAGGGGGCGCCCGTGTCACCCAAAAAGAATAAGCCGAGAGTGCCCAACACCCACGAGTTTAAAGAAGGGCACGGTGCAGGTTCTCTTGCACTCACCATTCCAGCTGAATGCCCCTACTCTGACCATGGTCGGCCCCTGCCTCTGGTGCTGGCCCAGACCTGCAAGCCCGCTCCACCAGGGGCTCCGGAAGGCCTCAAAGGCCCCGCCCTAGACCGCCTGACCGTGCACCAGTTCTCTGGCTTGTCCCGCCCTCCTCCCACTCCCCGGTCCCCGCAAGATACCCTCAGCCTCCTGCCTCCAGTACCCCAGTGGCCGGTTCCACTTTGTGCCCCACTCCCGGGCTGAAATACCACCCTCCCCCCTCGCAAAGTTCGGGAAGGGGCGGCGGTTCTGGCTCCCGTCCGTCTTTTCGCTCCGCACCAACGCCCCCCTCGCTGGCTTGACCCCACCCCCGCTTTTCCTCCCGGACCGAAGCCTGATTCCCGCAAGCTAGAAGAAGGCTGACCCCCGCCCTGTCCCCGCAGGCCGCGCGGCCCCAGGCGCGCTGGGCCCTGGCCGGGCCGGCCGCAGACGGCGGAAGTCACGCACGGCGTTCACCGCGCAGCAGGTGCTGGAGCTGGAGCGGCGCTTTGTCTTCCAGAAGTACCTGGCACCGTCCGAGCGAGACGGGCTGGCGGCGAGGCTCGGCTTGGCTAACGCGCAGGTCGTCACGTGGTTCCAGAACCGGCGAGCCAAGCTCAAGCGCGACGTGGAGGAGATGCGCGCCGACCTGGCCTCGCTGCGCTCGCTGTCCCCCGAAATCCAGTGCCGCCTCGCGCTGCCTGACGGCGCCCCAGGCCTCTGCCCGGGCCCCGCCCGGCCTGACTCTGGGCCCCGATTGTCAGACGAGGAGATACAGGTGGAAGATTGAAGGCAAAGCTACCTCTAGGGCTCTGGGGCCCTGGACTCCGCGCCTCCGCGTCCTGTCTGGGTTCCGGGGTAAAGGGAGGGTGTCGACCCGGGCCCCTTCCGGCTCACAGTCCAGACGCCCACCTTTCCCAATTGTTGAGAATAAAGTTGAGACTCCGCCGCAGCACGCCTCAATCCTGACGCTCCCCGCAGTAAGAGCAAAATCTGCTGATTATTGCGAAGATTCCGTGCTTGGCACCGTGCTGAGCGCTTTAAATCCGATGTTTCCTTTAACCCTCAAGCAATCCTATAAGGTAGGTGATATAATTATGCCCATTTTACAAAAGAACAACCCCTAGGTCAGGATGTAGACCCAGGCATCCAACCAGCCTTCAGAGCTGGTGCTGGTCAGCTCTATGCTCTGGAGACTGCGGGATGAGGGGAAGGGCATGGGACTCTGGTAGCTGCGGGCGCGTACTCCTCCTCTACTGGCCGCCTTAGTTCCAGGTCTCCACCCGGCGTTTGATCAGCTGCCACCTGGGAGACCTTGCACCTAACTAATAGACTGGCCCCAGAGTGAAAGCGTCCTGCCTGACTCTCCTTTTTCCCCACCCTGAGGTCATTTGTTAATAGAGTCCTGACCCTTCTCCTCGCCCCCACAGAGAGAATCCTACACTGAGACACAGGCAAAGTGATGAGCTCTGGGAGAGGGGACATACCCCTGCTTCTGGGACCTCCATCCCACCCCGCACTTGGGCGGAAAATGTCACCACCAGGATGATGGTGGTGGCGGGAGGGTGGGAAGGATTGGTCCTACTTGCTGAGGCAGAGCTTAGAGTAGCTGCTTGCAGGGTAGAGAGCCCAGCCCACCTCCTCCAACAGATATTTCTGAGATTAATTTCTAACGCTGGTAATGAATCATCCTCCTGCATGTGATGGGGAGGGAAAAGGAACACTCCCCGTGATGCAAGTCTTCCCCCATGCCTGGTCATCCCTGTTCATCTTTAGGAGTCCCTCCTCATCAGTCCTTCCTCCCTCCCCAGACCTTCCCATGCTCAGGTGCCACAATCCCACCCTCAGGATGCTCTGGGAATAATCCACCCAGCGCTGGGGGTGGGGGAGGGGTATGTGTCAGCTAGGGCCTCAGCTGCAGGTAGAAGTCCCAGAAAAGGATATTTCAGGGAAGTGAACGAGGCTGGAAGGCAGAAAGGAACCTGGCATTTTCAGACACAGTTCCAAATGCTTTGCATGGATTAATCTTTACAATAAATCCCATGAGATGAGACTTTAATTTCATTGTAAGGATAAGGAGAATGAAATCACAGAAGCCCATGATCATGTCGTGAAGCTTGTAAGTGGGGGCTGGGACTACTAACCGAAAGAAGTGTTCACAGAGCAGAGAGAGGGAAGAGCCAAAGGTAGGAATTTAGGCATTGTACTGTAGACAGAGCAGGTCATGGTTCTTGGAGGTTTTAGGGAGGAGAGGTATAAGAGCAATGTTTAGGGCAGGCGCATCTGGCTGCATGTGCAGGGTGACTGGCGCAGACCTGATGAAGGAGTGTAGCTCTGGCCACTGCAAAAAGTAAGAGCAGAGAGAATTCAGGGCCAGACTTGGAGTCGGGAGGAAGGTTGTTATGAAACAGGAATCAGTGTAATTTCTCCAGTGACCAAAGATTGGAGGAGTCAAAGACAACCTTGAAACCCTGGGCCACTGGAAGGAAAATGACATCATTGACAGGAACAGATAATGACTACTAGTACAGAGCTAAGAATCTGTCACCTATTATATACAAAAAGTATTCTTTGCACCTGTGTTGCCTCTACAGTACACATATACAACACACACATACCTCCCCTGGTTCCTGTTCAGGGCTCCATCTGTATTCCCTTCATCCCCTTCTAAAGACTGCCTCTCTGGAACCTTTAGATTGGGGTGACTAATTCATTCCTGTTTGCCCAGGGCTTTCCCAGTTTTACCACTGAAAGCTCCACAGCCTTGGAAATCCCTCAGTCCCAGGAAAACCAGGATGTTTGGTTATTCTGCTTTCCAGCCTTGGGGACTCAGACCTCAGGCTGCTGGGTCAGAACCCTACCAGTCAGCAGTGTGAGTGTGGGACAAAGTGGAGGCAAGGTGTCAGGAGTCCTATGGCTCTTGGGAAAGATTCGAGTCCAGGACAGTCTAAGAGGTACTGGGGCGGGGACATTTCTTTGAGGGGCTGGAAGAGCAAGGAGCAGCTCAGCCTGAAAGCAAAGACGCCATACAGTAGTGGTGGGTGGCCCTTCTTTGAGGGGCCAGGAGCCCTAGTGGAGTCCCCAAAGCATGTAAGTCCCACCTTCCTAGCCCCAGTCCAGGACAAGAGGGCCACATGAGCAGGCCTGGTATGGAGGCACTGTGATATAATCACCCCTTAAACAAACACAACTACCTCTCCCGAACCCCACCCCCCGGCCAGCCGGGCATGAGCAAAGCACTCCCAGGGCAAATAATTCTAGTCAGGAAGGTAGGGTTCAGTCAAGTTAACTGGCTCTGAGCCATAACCCTCTGCTACTTAGGGCTTCCTAAATTCTAGCCCAGTGCTACCACCTCTTATGATCAAGGCTTGGATAAACAAAACTCAAACCTGTCCCACCAAAATGGCCTCCTGGATGGGTGTCTCCTCTGCTAGGTCCTAGAGCAGAGCTTCCCAAACGTCAGGTGCCTCAGGATCACCGGGAGGGCTTATTGAAACACAAACTGTTGGGCCCACTCTTTCAGCTTCTGATTTAGAAGGTCTAGAGGGGGCCTGAGAATTTGTATTTGTAAAAAATTCCCAGGTGACACTGATGCTGGTGGCCCAGGGACCACACTTTGAGAACCACAGTCCCACAAACTCTGTATTTTGTGAAATAAGCAGCAATTCACTCATACTCCTCTTCCCAGTGTTGGAATCATGAATATGTAGGACAATTGCAGATAAAAATCAGTTTATTTAACACCCATTACGTACCAGGCTTTCGGTAGGTAGGTTCTCACACTTTCTCTTTCAGCCCTCACAACAGACCTGTGAGGTAGGGATTGCCCACATTTTACAGATGAGGAAACTGAAGCACAGGTGTTAAGAAATCTGCCGAAGGTGACCCAACTGGTAATGGCAGACTTCAATCTGTCATACAGTATTTAAGCGTCCTGAAACCATAAACAATAAAAGAATTTGGGACAGCCTTAAATAAAGAGGTGCTTCAGCATCTCCTACCTCTAGGTGCAAATGGTGTTGAATAAGACCCATAGGGCAGCAAGAGTCATTCATCCTGATAAATGGTTCCTCTAGGAAAGGCATTCTGGAGGCCTAAAAGTCCCCTGCAGATCCATATTTAAATGAGCTGAGAGTCCCAGGCAGAGCTAGGGAGGAACCAGCCAGGAGCAGCTGCCAGGATCTTAGAGGAGAAACCAGAAGGAGGTCATGATTCTTATACAGAAAGTAGAGGATTTTAGCCTTCTTTAGGGGCAGTGACCCTGGGTGGAAAAAAGTATGTAAATTCACATGGGGCAAAGGCTGGTTACAATGCCCAGTGCTGGAGTGGAGAAAGACCATGACCAAAGTAGCAGAAGCCTGGGTTCCTGCTAAGGCCCCACCAGTGGGGGAGCCAGCAGTGCAGGTACGTGGAGATGTATGGGCTCTGCCAGCTCCAGGCAGAAGCTGGTAAGCTGGTAAATACAAACCCTTGGTGAATCTTCTAGCAGTGGGAGGAGGTGAGCATCAGACCACTGGGCAAAGGAGAGGTCAGAATATGCATGGAAGTGTGGACAGGAAACAGGGCATGAGGAGCTCAGGCTTGAGAAAACCGGGCAAGAACTGGGATTAGGAAGAAGTGAGCATCTGTCAATCTGAAGGGCAAGACTTGGGCCTTATTCATTACTGTGACCCCATCCTGAGCAGAGATCTGGCCGGTGAGTGAGTCCCCCAGGGCCAAGAAGCAGGGCAAGCCTCAAATGCCCCCACTGCCAGGTCTGTTATAGTCTGAAAACCTGAACTTTTGTACAGATCCCTTCTTGAGCCTTGGGAGATTTTATTTTTCCTTACTGCTCCCAGAAGAAGCCATCTGCTTAAGAACCAAAGAAAGCCTATTTCAGTGGATGTAGGGCTCCTTTCTCTCATCAGAAGGTCTCTGTGGCAAGAGGCATGACTGCCAGGGATGTTCCCAACCGTGGTATTAGAGTACAGGTCTCAAAATGTGCAGTGAACTGCTACCACACAGTGTCCTTCATCCCTGTGGGATGCACACATGGCCTTGCCTTATTAGGGACAGGTCCTCCTTCATCTGGTGTGAGGTAGGTGCTGGGGCCCAAGTCCCAGGATGCCCCAGCCCTTTGAGGAGTCCTGGAAATGGAGAGGACAGGGTCTTCTGCTCTGAGTATGGGGGAGGGACCAGCTGGAGGGGCTCAGGTGATGTGGGGGATAATGCAAGGGTGGAGACAGAAGGCCAGGGGCCCTCGGAGCAGTGCTTCCAGGGCAACTGAGGGAAAGGAGACCTGAAGGCCCCAGCTCAACATGGGGAAATGCATAGGGGAATCCAGTTGACAGAGGCGGCCCAGGGCTTCCTCCTCGCTGGTCCTGCTGAGACAGAAGAGGGAGGGGCACCTGATACTCCTTCCAGCAGTGCTGCCTGTGCCCCCCTCATCCCATGCATTCCTGCCCATCCCCCTTATTTGCCTGAGGCAGAAAGCAGCAGCATTTGGTGTTGCAATCCCGGCCAGTTCTCTCTGTTTCCCCCTCAGCATGAGAGTGGGTCTGGTCCCTTTACCAGAGCGAGTTGTAGAAGGCAGGAGTGGAGCTCCCAGACTGCGGCAGGCTAGGATCCGCCTCTCAGAGTCTCCTGGAACACAGCAGCTGCCTCTTCGAAACGCTTCGGTCCCAGAGGAACGAGAAAGAGGAAAGTTTAGGCGTCAGTGGGGTAAGGGAACTTAAAACTGCCCCCTTTCCCAAACTGGCTCCAGTTCCGAGTACCACTAACATTGTGACATTGTGGTAGTAGCTTAACTAGAAAATGTCAATGTAGACCTGATCCCCACCCGATCCCACTCAAATTCCTCTTCAGCTTCCAACCTCAGACTCATTACCTGCAGTCCCATCAAGCCTTTGCCCAGGTGAAAGAGGCCCCAGGGCCAGCCAGGCTACAAAGTAAGGGCTACCTGGGCATCAGCCAGGGCCCACACCGGCCGTTCATGGCAGAATGAGTGATTTCCAAATAACCTGATAAAGACAAAGTGGCCAAAAGTCCAGGTCCTCCCTCGGCACCCGGCCTTGCCCTGACATCCCAGCATAGAGGCCAACCCCCCCACCTACCGGTGGTCCCAGGGGTTGAGCTTCGAGGCCTGGGTGAAGAGGACCACGGCCTTGTAGTGGAAACCATTTTGGGCAAAGCTGGTACCAAACTCTGGGGAGGAGAGAGGGTAGGAAGGTTCAGATGGGGCTATCGCAGGGAGGGATGGGTGAGGAAGGAGAGAGAAAGAATCTCACTCCTGGCTCTGTTGTAAGGCAGCTGCCAGCAGTTCTAGAGATGCCTAGGAATGGGAAGCAAAGTCAAGCAGGACTCAAGGCCTCAGCCTTCCCAAATCCTTCTCCTTTGTTTAAACAGTTTGTGTCAGGCAACTCATGTAATCCTCGTGACAGGTCTGCAAGATGGCATCAGCCCTACTTTCTTGCAGAGGAAACTACCCTGGGTCAGGGTGACAGTGATGGAGCTGGATCCCAGGTCTCTTAATCCTAGGGCCAGAGAACTCCTTCTACTGATCACTGCCCTCTACCCTTAGATTGCATAACTTCCCAGAGCCCTCTGGCACCCCTTCCACTGGTTCCAGCTGAGGTTCTTCTGCCCTCCTCATCTCTGCCTTATGACTCTGCCTGGAGCTCTCTTCTTTTGGAGTGCTTCCTTCCTCCTAACTCATCTTCTCTTGGGGACCCAAGCTCCTGCCTTGGGGCTCCTGACTCAGTCCCTTTTCTCTGCAGGCACTGGGGGGCCAATCCACAACCTTGCACAAAGCCAGAGACACAAAGGTACTAGATAGATCCAGTGAGTCCTGTGAGCAGAAAGGAAAGTTAAGGAGGGGCAGGGATGAGGTATGTCCTAGAGTAGTGGGAGGAGAGGGTGGGCAGAGACCGTAAAGGGAAGGAAGGGGGCTCTTACCTCTTCCTCGCAACACTGTCCCTGAGCTGGGTTCCCAGAGCTGGACGGGGGGCTCTCATCCCCATCTGCAATGCCTCAGCCTGGAAGGTGAGGCAGGAAGGTGAATAGGTGCAGTGTTGGGATTGCTTGCTTTTCCAGCCCCCCCTCCTGGTACCTGGTGCTCTTGGTACCTGCCAGTAGACATTCACGTTGGACTCCCCGCCATCCTGCTCCAAACGCTCCCTTCGCTTCCGATCCTTTTGTCATGACGCTGTAATGACAATGACGAGGAAGAGGAAGATGTATTTTGAGCACTACACTTAAACACCCGCACACACACACACACACACAAGTTGTATCCTGAGACCAGTTCTTCATGTGGACAATATATATGGTACCGTACTAAGAGCTTTGCATACACTATCTCATTTAATCCTTGCAGCTCTATGAGGTAGGTTTTGTTGTCATCCTCATTTTACAGGTGAAAAAGCAGGTAAGACGGTCATCAGGCAGAGGGCTCATAGTAAGGAGGCAGATTCCAGCCCAGACAGCATAGTGTGACTCTAGAACCACGGCACCAAATGGCCTCCAGGAGACCCTCCAGTCCCTGAGCCCCGTGGGGGCCCCTGGCCATCTAGAGTTCTCTCTTCTTCCCTCCCCCAAGTCCCTCTGGGCCCCTACTCCTTCTGCCCTGCAGCTCCCTTCTTTTTGAGTCGTTTCTTCTCTGCTTTCCGTTTCATGCGCTCCTGCTCGGACACCAGCTCCTCAGCCAGGCGGTTGGCTTCCTGGAAGAGGAAGGGCAGGTGGCAGGAAAAGAGAAAGTGAAAGGGAGGTAAGCAGTATGAACGAATCTTGAAAGCTCCAGATTAGGAGAGAATATAGACATGGGAATCTGGAGACTGGGAGAACTAGAGTCTCACCTCTTCAGTCAGCAGGAGCCTCTGCGGCATGGCCTGAAGCAGGTTGTCTGAGTCACTGAGGCAGGATGCTGAGGCAGAAGGGCTTTGAGGGCAGGGCTTAGACCCTCGTGGAGGGTATAGGAAGGACTTTTGGAGACCACAGGAGGTGCCCAGTCTCTCAGCCTCCTTGGCCTTGTCATTCTGTCCAGTAGTTTCCCCCTCATAACAGAAATGGTCCGGAGGGAGTCTGTCAGGAGGGAGAAAGAGAAGGGAAAGGAAGAACGTGAGAGAGAGGAGCATCTGAAAGCCAGCCCCCCCCACCCCCAACCAGGGTACCAGCCTTAATCCCTGGGCCCGGCCCCTGCACTCCCCACCACGGTGCCACAGCTGCAGCCGCCTGCCGCTCCCACCCACACGGATCCGACGCAGGCCCTGGGGATCATTCTCCACAAGCCGTCGAAAAAAATCCACTATGTCTTGGGAGGGGGTGGGGAGGGGACATTAGGTTGGTGTTGTGGGGAACTCTGGGAGACAGCAAGGAGCTTGGCTGGGTTGACCGCTCCACCGCGGCAACCAGTAACCAGCCACCCAGCCTGGAAAACCTTACTGGCCGACCTCTCCCTGCTCAGCACCTCAAAACATGCTGCTCCTGACTTTCACATGTATCACCTGCCTTCCCAAGAGCTGAGGGTGGCATTCAGTCCAGGCTTCTCTGACATCCTGCCATTAGGTCAGCCACACTGATGCCCCTGAAATGGAGCCCTCTTACCTGCTCTTCCAGCAGGTGTCCCCTGCTATATCCTTGAATATGAACACCCCCATATAGTCCACCCTGGAGCTACCTCAACGCCTAAATGAGTGCCACAGTTCCTGGCTGGCCTCTCCCCGGCACTTTATCTGTTTCTCCCCCAAACCAAGCTCTCAGCAATTACGCCCCTACTCAGAATTTTCCAGTAATCTCCCACTGCCAGGGCCACAGGCAGGATTGAGTCTAGCCTGGGATTTGGAGCCTTCCAAAAAGCTCCCTGGCTGACCTTTCCAGTTTTCCCTTGCAATCCTCTCCTTCTTAGCCGCTGTCCTCCCTCTGCCACCAGGCTTCTTCCAGCCTTGGGGTCTTCCCCCAGCTGTTCTCAAATCCCTCCTGGCTCTGAGCTTCTTTCTCACAACTTGCCTCACCTTCAAGAGTTCAAATTCCATCTCCCCACAAAGCCTTCCCAGACCCTTTCGTTTCCAGTTATCTCTGCCCTCACTCAACCAAGCTGCATTAACATAGCCTATGTTATATAATTTAAAACCTTATTATTCATTGCTTTTTATTGCTCTCTTAATTAGCCAGGTAGCATAGAACCGGAGAGAACACTGTCCTGGAGCACAGCTGCTTGCATCTTAGTTCTGGCTCTGCCACTACTGGGCTGTTTGATTTTGGACAAGTCATTTAACCTCTCTGGACCTCAGCTTCCTCATTCACAAAATGAGGCAAGACTCTTCAAGGCTTGGCCTGTACATTCTGTGGTTCTAATGAGGATTGTTTCCTTAGTTAGTGTAAGCCATCTTTAAAAACAAACAAAAAGGGCTTCCCTGGTGGCGCAGTGGTTGAGAGTCCGCCTGCCGATGAAGGGCACATGGGTTCGTGCCCTGATCCGGGAAGATCCCACATGCCGCGGAGCGGCTGGGCCCGTGAGCCATGGCCGCTGAGCCTGCGCGTCCGGAGCCTGTGCTCCGCAACGGGAGAGGCCACAACACTGAGAGGACCGCGTACCGCAAAAAAACAAAACAAAACAAAACAAAAAAAGGACTGCCTTGACCTTCTATCTCTCCCCAAAACACGGTCTATACTACTCTCTTAATTCACTACCTGGCCACACATGATCTGACCACCAAATCTCTTCATGAAATCATCTCCTACCCTCTTGTCCTCCTCCAACTGCAGTGGTCTCCTTTGAAGTTCCTACAATACACCAAGTGTGCTCCCATTTCAGGGCTTTTGTGTTTGTTATTTCATCTGCTTGGAATGCTCTTTCCGCAGTGAATGGCTCACTCCTTCATCCCCTTCAGATCCCTGCTTAAATCTTCTGAGGGAGGACTTCTCTGACCACTCCCTTTAAAAAGCAAAACCTCTCAGTTCCATTCAGTGTTCCCTATCCTCCTTCTTGCTTTACTTTTCTTTGCACTTCTCATATATGACATACTATATCATTTATTTGTTGAGTGGCTGCCCCCACTAGACACTGCTAATTCACTGACCATAGGAATTTTTGTCTGTTTGGTTTACTGCTTTCTTCCCAGTGCCTAAAACAGTGTTCAGTACATAGTTGGTGCTCAGTAAGGTGTGTGCTGAATGAGCAAAGGCAGACAGATGGGTGAGGAGGCTATTGTAATAGAGATGCAGCCAGGAGCTGTGCCTGAAGAACACTGTGTGATCCAGTGAGTTTGCACTTTGTCCTGTTGGTGGTGGAAGTGGATCTAATCTGGGAAGCGAAATGCTCAAATGAAATTGTACTGGGGAAAGAGATGAGTCTAGGGGTGAAATGTTTAGTTAGCAGGTCATTAGAACTGTTCAGGCCAGAAAGATTGAGTTCTTGAACTAAGGTAGTGGCAGCAGAAGTAGGAATGGAAATAATGGATTTGATAGAAGAGACACTTCAGAAGTAGATTTTGTGACTGACTACACAGGTGAGGTAAAGAAAAGGGGAAGAATATGTAGAATGATTCTCAGATTTCTGAATTAAGCAACTGGATGGAAGTTTGTGTTATTAACCAAGATTAAGATGAGAGAAAACGCAACAAATTCGCAAAGATGATGAATTAACTTCTGGACTTGTTGAGTTTGGTTTTAGAGATAACCAGGTAGCAGTTGGAAGTATAGCTTTCCAGTGCTCCCAAATCTGATCCTCTCCCTCCCTCTATAACCCTACCACCTCCTTCAGGACCTCCAAATCCATGTGCCAGACCAGGACGTTCAAACCACTTGCTGCCCTCTTGCTCGCCTCTTCTCTCAAACCCATAACTAAGGTCTCACTTCAGTGACGTACTCTTAACGTTTCCTTGCTTTAGTGTCTTTGCTCACACTGTTCCCTCTGTTCATAATATCTTTCCCCAAGCAACTCCTACCCACTCCCCAATCCTCAACTAAGAGACCCTCGTCTGCCCGATCCTGCCCACTTCAAGCATTTATCACCGTTGAGTCGTCCCCGCCCCCTCCACTTGCGTTGTGTTTCTTGGCAGTAGGGCCCACAGTTACGCCTCTTCCAAAGCCCTGGTGCAGCCCCGCGCGGCACCGGGCCGGGACGGGCAGGGCTCAACACGGAAGGTTGAAAAGAGGCGTGACCGTAAAGGGAACGGGCCGAAGAGCGGCTAAGAGTTATGTTTTTTGTTTTTTTGGCCGCGCCGCGAAGCTTGCGGAATCTTAGTTCCCAGACCAGGTACTGATCCCTACCCTCGGCAGTGAAAGCGCGGAGTCCTAACCCCTGGATCTCCAAGAGACCGAATTTCTTGCAGAGTTTGGGGACAGCAGCGACCCCCAGCGGGCAGCCGGGCCGCAGAGGACAGACTATAGGAAAGGAAGGCGGCGGCGCGTCTGGGGGCCTCGGGGTAGGTGAGCTGGAGCCCTCTGCCCATCACGTGAAGCACAAAATCCTACTGAAAACAGATCTAATTGGGGCTGCCCCAGTCTTCCTGGACCCCCTCCGGTCTTGTCTCACCTGCTTACCTAGCTTGACCAGCCCCACAGTCTTCGGAATCGGTGCCATCCCCGTCAACAGTGACCCGAAAGTGAAAGTGGCATTCGACACCGGCCGAAGGGCAGAGTAGGACAGAGTAGGCAGCCATCTTTGTTGGGGGCAGAAGCCTCCGCTTACGGAGCGCGAGAGAGTGCATGACGGTCCCGGCGGCTCCCTGGCCGGAGACGACGGCTCCGGGGATGGGGCGGAGCCCCGGCTACGGCAGGCGTTGGGCAGTACGGGGAGGTGGGAATCGTTAGCTTCGTTCCGGACAAGCTGTCCCATGGCCCAAGCGTCTCGCTCTGGTGGCCTTCTGCCTCCGCTGGCTACCGTGCCGCCGTTACGGGCGCAGGCCGGGGGCGCTGAGGAGGAGCAGTGGCAGAGAAAGCGGGCAGGCGCTCTCCGCCGGGACGTTCGTGGCTGGCTGCGGCTGCCGGTTGCCCGAAGCATCCCCTGCCTGGACCCACGGCCCGGCGGAGCTCCGAGAGGGCAGCCGTGGTGTGCGGTGCCGGCGGACGCAGGAGAGCACCGTGAGGCTGGCGCTGTGGACTGGGGGCGGGAGCCGGCAGCTGGCGGCCCGACCCCTCCAGCGCTGCAGCGTCTCCGGGCGGTGTTGCTTCGGCTGCACCGCGAGCGGCAGGAGCTCCTCCACGCACAGGACTGCGCCCGCCACCTGCAGGCGACCGTGCGTCTCCTGAGGATCCTGAGTCCCGGCGCTCCATCCCCCAGCCACTTGCCTCAGCTGTGCAGCGACCTGTTGGGGCACTCTTCCGGAGGCGCGGTCCTGCGAAACGGCCTTCAGGAGACACCCGAGCCGCTACTCCTGGCACGATCCGTCGGACTAGCCGCCCAGCGCCTGGATGCTACTATCGAGATGCAGCTTCGGGCTCTGGGCCAGGCGCCCGCCAGCCCGGGCCTATCGTCCCAAATCGCCGACCTGCTGCTGGCACTTCCCGCCTACCACCAGCTGCAGGGAAAAGCCTTGAGCTACGTTCCAGGGGCAGCGCGCCCTTATCCCCCGGCCCGTGTGCTCCGCCTCCTGACGGGGGAGCGGGGTTGCCAGGTGGCAGGTTGGCTGGATGAGGCGCTCAGGGGATCTGACTTGAGGGACCAGCTCCGCAGGCGGTGCCAAGAGGAGCGGGAGCTGCTGCCAGGGCTACTGGGCCTGATGGGGGGCGTGACGGGTTCAGCCAGCAGTGGACTGGGGCTTGGAGGGGCTGGGGCCCTGTGGAGCCAGTACTGGACCATGCTGTGGGCAGCCTGTGCTCAGAGTCTGGACCTAAGTCTAGGACCCTGGAGGGACCCCAGGGCAGCGGCACAACAACTGAGTCAGGCACTGGGTCAGGGTGAGTGATGGGCCTGGGTGGGTGTTTGGGAAGGCTGGGATCTCTTCTGTATTCACCTCACTCACTTGCCACCTGACTACAAAAACAGGCTCTTTAGAATGAACATACCCCACCCCACCCCACCCCACCCCACCCCCGGGGATTCAGGCTATAGCTTCTGGGCTTTCAAAGCAAAGTCTTGCTTTCCATGCCAGCCTTGAGTCTTGGGGGAAGCCTCCCCTCTTCCCCCATCATTGAGTGGGGGCAGTGTTGGGCAAAGAGGGACCCTGTTTTCAGGCTCCAGTCATTTCTCCCACTAGCATCACTGCCTCAGGAGTGTGAGAAGGAGCTGGCTTCTTTGTGTCACAACCTAATTCATCAGTCTCTTATCTGGAGCTGGGATCAAGGTGAGAAGGAAGGGGCAATGGCAGTGACACAAGCCCCAGACTGCTCCTTCCTTATCAAACCATACCCCCTCATCTTCAGGCTTCTGCCAGGCCTTGGCATCTGCTAGTGGAAATCAGAGCAGCCTTCCCTCATCCTCTCATACCACTGAACTTTTGCAACAGCTCTTCCCTCCTCTCTTGGATGCCCTTCGAGAACCCAGGTCAGGACTGCTCCTCTGCCGGCCTCCAGGTGAGACAAGGTATTGGGGATGGGGGGATAAGAGAACAGCTGGACATCTCCTTATTCCTTAATCTGTTCTGAAGCCTGCCTCCTCCCAAAGGTGTTCTGTGGCCCTTCAGATACTCTGTCCCTCCTCTCCCCAGGTCCTGCCCCCCTTGCCCTGGGGCTCTGTACCCTGCAGACCATCTTGCTCTGGTTTTGGGGCAGAACTCAGCAGCATCTGGCAGCGTGGGCCCCAGGTTCCTTCCTGCTCCTGATCCAGAAGGATTTACCTGTGAGTAGCTAGGGAATGGGGAGGGGAGCATCCCGGGCTGGGCTCGGATCTCACTCCCTGTTTCTGCCAAAGCCTTTATTATATGAGGCAGAAGCTTTGTCTAGCCTGGCCTCAGAGGAAAGCTTGGCCCTGGAGGTGGAGCAGCAGCTGGGCCTGGAGATCCAGAAGCTGACTGCACAGATCCAGGTAAGGAGAGCAGGAGACCTGACAGGGGCCAGCTTTGGGGCTGGTGGGGAGCTTGTGGTGGTGGTAGAACAACTCAGTGCTTGGAATCGCCACTAAATTTATCTTTTCTTGCTCTTCACTTCTTGTCCTCTCTTTATTATGGAAAATTTCAAAAAAATACAAAAGTAGAGAGAAGAGTATAATGGACCCCCATATTCCTACCACTGAGGCTTTAATACTCGTCAACTCATGGTCAATTTTACTTCACTTATATATCCCACCCCCAGCTCCCATGTCAGGCTCTCATTTTGTGATGTTAACAGCCACTGATGATTGATGATCATTGTCTATATCCGTTATTTCATTAGAGGGTGCAAGGTGGTGACATTCCAATTCTATCATTCCTTCTTCATTATTAGTTGGATTACTCTTATAAAGTGAAACTTGCCCTCATAAATTACTTGGTTACTTTGAGGTATAATTTGTAGAGAAACAGCAAGATAAATGATTGACTTTTCCTTTTATTTACTAGTTTTTGATATGTTTCTCCTGTTTTCTAAAAGCGTAATTTGTACTTTTATTAAAACTGAAATAAAGTATTATTTTAGAAGGCTTCTAATGAAAAAATAGCACTTTAATTGCCCCTCCCCAACTTCGATTTCTGATCCTTGTTCCACACTGGTAACTTCCATCCACTCTTGGCTGTTTCTTCTAATATTTTCTTATTTTCTTCTAAATTTATGAATTAAACTATTATACGTCTAGCTTTTCCCCATTTTACACAGTATCTGTTCCTACTATGGATGATGTCTCTCTGCTTTTTGTTCTCTTCCTGCCCAGATGTCTACTCGTTGCTCTGAATAGGGGCATGGCTGTAGAGTTCAGTCCCTGTCCCGCTCCTCCTTTACTCTCTGCATTCCACAGTGCCTTGGTGCTGTAGACCACCCCACCCCCCCACCCCCAGTTTAGCCCTAATCCACCATCTGCATCTGCCCGTTGGGCATTTATACCTCAATTTACTGCTGCCTCTTTCAACTCAACATGTCCCAGAACAGGCTTTTCATGAGTAGGGTGGACAGTGACGGTTGTGGGAGCTCTGGGAAGGGAAGGCCTTGGTGGACACATGGTAACAGAAGTTCCTTACAGGGTCTATGGCTCAAGCTGGTGGCTGGGCAGCCTCAGAGGAGCAGCAGGGGTTACTGGATGTGGGTAGTTCATAGTTCCTTGGGGGAGTACTGGCGAGATGGTCTGACCAAAGCAGAAGCTCCGTGTGTGTGTGTGTGTGTGTGTGTGTGTGTGTATGTGTATGTGTACATAAGCATACACTTGCCCTCGCATGTGCATCTCAAGGGTGGGGGTGGAGAATTATGAAGGAGTAGGTTGTCATCAAGTTGTGGAGGGCACTGAACACCAGCTCACAGATTTTGGACTGTATCTCATAAGTGATAGGGAGCCATTGTAAGAGCAGGAGGGGAACAGTGAAGACAGTGATAGAGTTTGATCCAGCTATAGTGGTCAGGATAGAAGGGAGGTGGGGAGACATAATATGAGAAGGGTCCAGCTCTTGGTAGTTGCAGTGAGAACAGAGCAAAAGGGGCAGGGACAGTGTGCTCATCATGTGAACCAAACACTGTCCAAAGCAGTTTCATGCCTTGCTTCTCTGCCTGATGACTGCACTATTGGGCATCCGCTCTGGGCATTCTACCACATACAGCACTGGGACGAAAAAGAAGAATCAGATGTGAGTTTTCTCCTCAGCAGGACTGTAATGTCCCACAGAAAAAACTGTCCCATAGTGTGACCTTGTATTTTCTGAGTGTTGAGTGCAGAATTTCCTAACAAATGTCAGTTGACGAAAGGGTAATTTCTTTGTTATATATAAGGAAGAAGGGGGTTCTGGTGGTTGGGATAAGGGAAGAAGAGTTTAGATTTAGACTTGGTGGGAAAGAGCCCATGTATCAGGAGCCACATGGGCTCTCTCCCACCAAGTCTGGCCCCCGCCAGGTCCTTTCCTCTCTTCAGGTTCTCAGGCATACAGTCACCTTTTCCTTAGACCTGCCACTACACACCCCTCTTATTGAGTTCTTCTCTTAGATGGGCTGTAGAGACCCCTCCTTTTTGCTGTCTTCTCCCCCTCCAAAAACAAAACCTATCAAACCAAAGAAACCAAACCAGCACATGGGCCTTTTCTTGCTTTGTGGGTTACAATGCTCTGGAGAAATGGAAGTGGCTATAAAGAATATTCAGTGTGAGGACATTCCAAAGGTTCCTGAATCTTAGAAAGTTATATTCATTGCTCCTGGTCTACACACAGTTCTTGCCTTCCTTTTATAGATGACAGACAGAAGATCGTACAATTCCCTTTTCTTTCTTCAGCCTCTGCCTGTCTGCAGATCATGAAGACCTCTCTCTAGCATCTGCTTTTGAACACTGGCGGTGGTGAGGGTGTCTCCCTTTTTTTTTCCTATTAACGTTCCTATGGAACAAAATTAACATGGAGGATTTCCATCCTCTGAACCAAGCTGAGGAGAGCAGGGTAATCTTAGGGCAACTGTCCATAATCTTTTCTCGGTCCAGACCTCTTGGAAAATCCAATAAAAGCCATAGTATCTCTCCTCAGAAAATGCCCAAGCCCATACAATTCTGTTCTGGGGCTTTATGGATGCCAGGTTAAACACCTCAGATTTAGAAGAGCATATAACTTGACAAGTCCCTCAGAGATAAGCCCCTTTTACTTTCTCCTTATCCCCACAGCTCCTGCCTGAAGAGTCACTAAGTTTCTTTTTTCAAGAATGTCATAAACGAGCCACACAGGACTTCGAACTCCACATGCCACGGGGTCGGTACTGGCGGCATCGCCTCTGTCCTGGTAAGTCCTCATCCCAGCGTTCCCTTCCAGGCTTCTCAGGGGGTAACAGTGTCCTGGCCCCTCCAAATCCTGGCTCCACTCCTCTGTCTCCATCCTGTCCTCACCTTCTGTGTCCCCTCACCCTGAAATCCTACCCTCTTCCCCCAGATGCTCCATTAGGGGCTTGATGGATCTCCCTAGCCTTATATCCTGTCCTTTCTCTTCTCTCACTCCAGAACTTCCCAGCATTCCTAGTGAGTATGCTGGGCTGGTGGTCCGCAGGGTACTGGAGCCTGTGTTGCAAGGACTGCAAGGACTGCCACAGCAAGCCCAGGCCCCTGCCCTCAGCCTGGTGCTGACTGCCATCCTGGGTGCCTGGCTTGACCACATCCTCACCCACGGGATCCGGTTCAGGTGGGGAGAAAAGGAGGCCGTGGCAGGGGGATGAATGGAACTGAAAAAAAGAGAGGGGATGGGTGGGGCAGAGCCGTTCCGAGAGGCAGGAGGGTCAGGGGGCCACACTGTACCTTGGCCTTCAGCCTGCAGGGGGCGCTGCAGCTCAGACAAGACTTTGGAGTGGTCAGGGAGTTGCTGGAGGAGGAGCAGTGGGGCCTGTCCCCAGAACTTCGCCAGACTCTGTTCACGCTCAGCATCTTCCAGCGGCTGGATGGGGCCCTGCTGTGTCTGTTGCAGCAGCCCCTGCCCAAGACTCAAGTCCACAGGGGGCCTCCCTGTTGCTGTGAGTCACTCTCCCTCCCCAACTCCAGGCTCTCTTTGCCCCTAGCTCATAACTTTATGTGCCGCATCCCCCATCCTCATCATTGATCCGGCTTCTGCGTGTGCCCCCCTCCCACACACACACACCGCCAGCCACCTGCCTTCCACTCCTGCCTTACCAGGTGCATGTAATGAGGTCCAGACCATGGAATTGCCCAGCAGCAGCCTCAACAGCCTGGAGAGCTTGGAGCCCCCTCTTCGACCTGGAGCACTCCCAGCCCAGACAGCTCAGCTGCTAAGCACACTGTGGGGAGAAGGACCTAGTCCTGAGGCTTACCTGGTAGGAAATCAGCAGGCCTGGCTTGCCCTGAGGCAGCACCAGCATCCCCGCAGGCACGTACCTTTTCTTTCCTGCCTGAGGACCAGTTCTGAATCCTAAGGACCCTAATCAGAGCCCGTTAGAACTCCCTGTCTCTGTCTGAAAAAGCCCAGACATTTAGAAATGCATATTAAAAAAGCCTAATTGGGAGCTTGGAAGAAAGCATACCTGAGAACCACAAGCTACACAGAGCTTGGACTTAGAAACCTGGAGGTCAGCATCCTTGGGAGGCTTGGGCTTAGTCCCCCATCAGTGAAGACATCTCAGAGCTAGACACTAGCAGTAAGGGGCTAGATGCTGGGAGTAAGGCTTTAGGGTTGGATCCCAGGGGAAAGGGAAAGAGGAAAAGCAATAGAAAGCAGGGAGCCTAGATGCCACTTCCTCTTAACTCCCAGGAGCCAGGCTAAACACTAAAAGTTTGGGACACTACTACAAAGTTAATTCATCAGGAACCACAGAGGTGGAATAGGAATTTATACACCTGAATCAGTCCCACAGTGTATACTATATAATAGTACCCTGCACTCCCCTCCCCATCACTATTTTTAGTCATTTAAGAATATTGGGCTGTAGGACCTTCACGTGTAAGCTTCGCTACTCCAGAGTTCCATGTGTTTAATCTTAAACTACCCGAGTGGAGTTTACCCTCTGGTAGGTTTATAATCCCTGCCGTGGTGGTGCCCTCTCCTTGGAAGGGACCAGCACTTAAGACGGTATTAACGTAGATCTGGCACAGCAGGGTACAGAGGAGTAAAGGCTGCAAAAGACGTGTTATCGGAGCCAGGTGCAAACGGCTTTTGCACTATTTATTGTCTTCACCGTGATAAAGGGGGCTATTAATGACAGGTTGTGTTTACTGACCGTGTACTTTGGGCGCCCCATACCCTGTGCCGAAATTATCTGTCTCCCTCCTGGCCTTCCTCCTCTTCTCGGCTGGGGAGCCCAGGGCGGCGGCCTGGGGACCAGCACCACCGACCGTGTCAGAGAAGCCGCACGAGGCGGAGGTCGGGGGACTGCGGAAGCGCGTAGCAGTCCACAGCGTCTCGTACTAGCGACACTTCCGCCCGCACGAGTCCTTCCGGGGTGAGGGTCACCATGGCAGCGGCCTTGGCCCGGCTCGGACTCCGCTCTGTCAAGCAGGTTCGGGTTCAATTCTGCCCTTTCGAGAAGAACGTGGAGTCGACAAGGTACGAGGGGGAAGGAGTGCGGACGCGAGGGGCGCGCCTTCCTCCCGCCGGGGGTCTAGCCCCCTCTGCCGGCCGCTCACGCCGTTTTCTCACCGCAGGACCTTCCTTCAGGCCGTGAGCAGCGAGAAAGTTCGCTGCACCAACCTCAACTGCTCGGTGATAGCGGACGTGAGACACGACGGCTCCGAGCCTTGCGTGGACGTGCTGTTCGGTGGGTCTGGTTGGGAGTCGGGAGGGAGTCGCTAGATCTCGGCGCTGGCCCCGCCGTCCTCCCGGTGCCTTACTCGTTTGTTTCTTCCCCAGGAGACGGGCATCGCCTGATTATGCGCGGCGCGCACCTCACCGCCCAGGAAATGCTCACTGCCTTCGCCTCCCACATCCAGGCCAGGGCTGCGGCGGGAAGCGGGGACAAGCCGGGCGCCAGTACCGGGCGCTGACAGCGCGGAAGAGACCAACAAGCAGGTTTTCACCTAAGACTGCTAAGGACACATCTAAGAAGAGCTTGACTTAATTACTCAAATCACTATCTAGAAGACCACAGAGCGCAAAAGAGAAAAGAAAGAGCCCTGTGACTACAAATCCAACCAGTGTTTCTGGGACGAGACAAGATGGGAAGGGGTCTGGACAAATTTGAATTTTATTTCACTTTCTTACCATCACTCACTGCTTAACCCTTTTGAATTTGGCTTCTTCCAGCACTACTCAAGGTACCTCTTACTCTTATTAGAAATGCTGTTATCTCAGTCCTCATTTTTCCATTTCAGTAGCACCCGCCACTCTTAATTCCCTCCCGTGTGTAACTTCTTTTCCACTCAGGTCCTTTTTCTTCTTTTAACCATAAAGGCATACTACTCTCCTTCTTTCTCTTCTCTCTTTTATTTTTGGGGCATCTCATATTCTGTCATGACTTGAACTACCCTCTTGGGTTAAACGCTACATTTCTGTTTGGCTCTAATCTCAGATTCTGTGCTATAGTCAGGGTACTTACTACCAATTTTCTCCAAATTCCACCAACACTCTTTGTCTAACCCTAACCCGATAATCTTACATACTCTCTAAAGTTGACCCTTGAACAATGCAGGTTTGAATTGCAGAGGTCCTTTTACATGCCTGTTTTTCAAATAAATACATAGTACAAGTACTACACGATCTGTGGTTGTTTGAATCTGCGGTTGTGGAACTGTGGGTGCTGACTGTAAAGTTATCCCCCCATTCTCAACTCTGTGGAGCGGTTGGGCCCCTAACGCCCATCCCCACCCCCATTGTTTAAGGGTCATCTGTACTTGCCTCCTCCCCTGACTTCCTCATTCCTTTAAAAGGCACTTCATCTGCTCAGCCACTTGAGCTGGAAACCACAGCATTATCTCTGGTTCTGCCCGCTCCCTGAATATCCAGTCAGTAAGTTCATAATATTCTGTCTTAAACAAAAGCTCCTGAAATGTTCTCTACATTTCCATTCACTCTCCTGTATTATTGTTGCATTCTCCCACCTGGTCTCCTTTTTGCTAACCGTTTTTGCTGCTGCTTACTTTTATCTTTCCAAAGCATATCATTGGTTTTATTATTACAACTTGTTTCAGAGAACAGTGCCTAAAGTCCTTTTTAGGCACCCTGCCTAAAGTTTTTCATACTAGGTTACCACCCATTAATGTGGATCATGAAGTGAATTTAGGGGGTCAAATCAGCCTTTTAAAAACAAATAGAATAAAAAGTATCAGTAGATGGCACATGGACTGGGAAGTATTCTTTAAGAAACTTGTTTTAAGCGTATCATGAATATAGATATAGGTATTATATAAAGTATGTGTATGTGTGTCTATCTGCATGTACTTGGTTGCAGTATAGAATTATTTCTTACTGCAGGTTGTAGGAAAAAATAGCCACTGGTTTAGAGAAAAACTTCAGAATATTCAGCTAGGCAATCAAGAATCTCTGGACACTGGCTGCTGTGTACTTCACCAAATATATTTCCTCCTACCCCATTACTGCTTCTCTCTTAAGACGGTGATATCTTCAAAGGACTGGTTTTCCCCCCTCTCCCTTAAAGGAAAGAAAACTATCAGGAGACAGTATAGTGTAGTAAAAAGCCAGAATGCCTGGGATTGAAATCCTAGGTTTTCCCTTAAGTAGCTATGTAACTTTGGACACATTACTTAGTCTCTCAGTGCCTGTTTCTTCATTCGTAAAATGGGGATAATAGTACCTACCTCATAGAACTCTTGAGAGATTAAATGAATTGATATCTGGGACTTCCCTGGTGGTCCAGTGGTTAAGACTCTGCTCTTCCACTGCAGGGGGCACGGGTTCAATACCTGGTCAGAGAACTAAGATCCCTGCATGCAGCGTGGCCAAAGATCAATCAATCAATCAATAAACTGGTATCTGTAAACTGCCTAGAATATTGAGTGAGCACAGCATAGCATCTAAGAGGCTGTGTGTTATAGGCCTCTTCATTGACGAAAGGATACAACCTAGATTTGAGTTCTTCAGGTCCATGGTTAACTGGCTATTATCCTTGGCCAGATTAACTACTCATCTGTAAAAACAGGGATGGTTCAAACACTGCTGTAAACACGGATTGAGTGCTGGCACTGTGCTTATAGATTTTGAACTTGAGGTTGGGGCTGTTTTCTCTGTGTCCCCCGCACCTTGCATAGTGCCTGATACAGAGTGTGCAATAAACTTTTGTTGAATTTACCAGTATTTAGCATCAACCTTGTGACTTCAACTGATTAGTACTGAGATACAAAGATGAATGGTGAAACTCAGGTGTGTATACTAAGTGCTACAATATATTGAATAGGTGTGGACCAGGTGCAGTGGTAGCAAGAAAGGACTGACCATTGGGTTTGGTCAGAAGGTGATTGTTAAATGAGTAAAAAGTCTACCAGTGGAGGGTGGGGCCAGAAGTCAGATTATAGTGAAAGAAGAAGTGGGTGTGCAGCATAAAGTAGTAGTTTTGTATAATTAGAGTTTGGATGGGAGGTGTGATTATAGCTAGACTAGCATAAGGGTGTGGAGTAGGGTTTTTTTAGAGGATGATAGAGATTTGTACTTTATGAAAACACCTTTTATGCTGAGCTGTTGGAGAGAAGTAACTATGAATCTTAAGTTGCATTTCTTTTTTCTTTTTTTTTTTTTTGCGGTACGCGGGCCTCTCACTGTTGTGGCCTCTCCCGTTGCGGAGCACAGGCTCCGGACGTGCAAGCTCAGCAGCCATGGCTCACGGGCCTAGCCGCTCCGCGGCATGTGGGATCTTCCCGGACTGGGGCACGAACCCGTATCCCCTGCATCGGCAGGCGGACTCTCAACCACTGCGCCACCAGGGAAGCCCTAAGTTGTATTTCTGAACCATCATCAAATGTAATCTTGGCTCTTCTAGGACAACATCAGGTGCTGATGCTACCTCTTTCCTACAGCCTTCCCTGACCTGGACATAAGCAATCTTTCCTCTAAGCGCCTTTGCTTCCTGGGTTGTAGAAAAGGAAAAAGAAAAAAAAGTACAGCTACCACCATTATGGTCCTTTTAGGGTTTATCTAGATAAGGAATCCTAGACTGAGTGGAGGTATGACATCTAAAATCACAGGTCCTCTTGGATCCACTCCATTTCACTAGGAAAGAAGGCATAGGTGTGGACAATATGATTCAGATACACCTGGGTTCCAGGGTAGCCGCTTCCTGGCTCTGTAGCCAGGGCCAAGTTACTTTAACTTTCTAGGCCACGGTTTTCAGGCACCTGATTGGGGCGATATGGGGAGCGGTTAAATGTAAAACACTTAGGACAGCGTCTCATGCTCTTAATATACAGTAGTTATTAAAAGAAAAAAAAAAGACAAATGTGATTGGTTTTTCCTACTAGCCTGTCAACTGCGTGAGAACGCCGAATAAACGCCAATCCAGTGGACGCGGCCCAGAGGGCCGACCCCAGGGACCAGCCCTACGCCACGCCGCGCTGTTTTGCTGTGGGGCTTAACCTGACGTGGAGGGGCGGGACTTCCTGCGGAAGCGGAGGGGGAGGCACGGGCCGGTGGGTGCGGCTGACACATCAGTGGTGTTCCAGGCGCTGCGCGCGAGCCCAGGAGGCGAGCAGGGACCCGGGCTTTGTGGCCATCTCTCCGGGTCCCCACGACGCCGATTTCCGTGCAAGGATGGCTCGGGGCGAGCGGCGGCGCCGCGGAGCGCCGGCAGACGGAGCGCGGACCGCTGAGAGGGCGGCTCGGGGCGGCCCCGCGCGACGGGAAGGCCGGGGCGGCAGGCCCCGGGGCGCGGCTGCGGGAGCCGCTCTGGCCGTCTTGGTCCTGTCTCTGGCCCTGGGCCTGTCGGGATGCTGGCTGCTGGCATGGCACCGTGCGCGGCGGGCTGTCACGCTGCACTCCGCGCCCCCGGCGTTGCCTGCCGACTCTTCCAGCCCCGCCGTGGCCCCGGACCTCTTCTGGGGCACCTACCGTCCTCACGTTTACTTCGGCATGAAGACCCGCAGTCCGCAGCCCCTCCTCACCGGTAACCTGGACGCGGGGCGGGCAGGCAGGCGGGCACTTAATCTGGGCGCCCCAGCTTCGCGCCAGATCAAGGGTGGTGAGGAGTGGATCAGGAGAGTTATTAAGAGGGATGACCCTGAAGTTCTCGGCGACCCAGAGGGACAGGTCCCCTGCTCTCTCTTTGACTTACCTGGCCATTCTACCCCCAGGACTGATGTGGGCG